AAAATTAATTTCACTTATATCAATTAATAATTATAGAAAATAACTGTCAAAAATTAATAAAATACATCACGGAATTATGTACTAATAATATAAATAAAGGTTTTCCGGATTATTCAATTTAAATGTTATTAAAATAATAAAAATTTAACAATAAAAAGGAAATATTATTTAAATATTTAAAAAACTAAATGTCCTAAAAATAAATATTTAATATTATGTAATAAATTTAATAGAAATAAAATTAAAATAATAAAAAATATAAATAACTAAATATTTTAACTAACGAAATATAACATAACTAGATTTTAAACAATTAAAAATAATGAAATTATGTAATAAATTTTAAATTTTTCTTAAAACTAGAAAAATAATTATAATATAATAATCAAATTAATAATAATTTAATATTTTACAAAATTAATAACGAAATTATGTAATAATAGTATGAATTATAATTTTATGGATTATTGAATTCAATAAATAATTAATATTTTCAAGTTTAAATAATGAGATTATTTAAATAACTCAATAATATTGTAAATAACTAATTTCTCTTATATTAATTAACAATTCTAGAAAATAACTTTCAAAAAAATAATATTTATTCATAATAATTTTAAAATCATAATCTTTATTTATTATGTATTAATATATACTAAAATTAATTTTTGTTTTATTTTAATTAATTATTTATTGTTTTTTGTGATAAATATATTTTCAATAATTATTGGATATTAAACTGCTATTGTTTAACTTTTTAAGTTTAATTTATTGTACTTATTGTATTTTCATTATCAATATATTTTTATTAATTGTGTATTTTCACAATAATTTTTCAATAATTTTGGGAGATTAAACTATTATTACTTATTAGAAATATATTAAATTATTAATTTATCTGAAATTATGAGTGCTAATGGTTTGGTTCTGTTTGATTGTAGGTTGTTTGGCCAACCAAATCAATTTGGTCAGGTTGGGGAGTTGGTCACCCGAAGCTGACCGGCCATTAGTAAAAACCGAACAACTTGAGTTGTAGTAGTTGGGTCATTTTTTTGGTTTGATCAATTCAAAAAGATTTAAACTTTAAAAATTAAATTTATAATACAAAATATTTTAGACTAAGAAATATGAAAAACGAACAACTTGAGTTGTAGTAATTGGGTCATTTTTTTGGTTTGATCAATTCAAAAAGATTTAAACTTTAAAAATTAAATTTATAATACAAAATATTTTAAACTACGAAATATGAGAATTTTTCCATTTTAACTGATCCAACCTAATCAAAAGAAATTGTTAAACCAAAACCTTGAACGTTAAGCAATCTTTACCGGAGGACGAGGAGTGGAATGTTCGCAGGAGAGCCATGCAAACTGAGCTACCAAGAAGCCGACCACCAATTCGATCATCCGCACCCCTACTAAATAACTTCATGGAAGGAAAGAAGCCTACACCGCCAAAGATCCAGAGGCTGACTCTCGCCGAAGCCAAGGAGTGGAGGGAAAAAGGTTTATGTTTCAACTGTGATGAACGGTACGTACCAAGACATCGTTGCAAACATCAGAAGCTGTTCTGGATCGTCGCCAATTTAGATGACTCTGCTGAGGATGGTGGAAGAATGGTTGGAAACGAAGGCAGAGATCTCGCCCATTTAGATGCTTCAAGAAGTTCTCTACAATTTCCTCTTGATTCTCCCTATCTCTCTGTCCAACCTTCAATTTAGAAATGTGATTTTTCCTGGAAATTGGAAACCAGCCCAACCTTCTACCCTGCATTCCTCCCACCAAGATGTCACCTTCTGTGAAAATCTTTGTGAAAAATCAACACCTTCTCCATTCTGAAAGGGGACTTCCCTTTTTTCAAAAACTCATTTTGCAAAATGACCGACCAATGGTCTGCTGCAAATGGCTCTTTCTTGCAAGTTAGACCATGTGAATTTCCTATTGTAGAGAGGAAGATCTCGGAGATCGTGCCTAGCAATGAACTCTGAGAAATCCTTCATACTTCTGATCAACCTTTTGTTGTTTGAGTTCTCCTTGCAAAACCTAGTATGGTAAAATTGTAAGATGCAATATCATAACAAACCAAAAGAAATTAAAACTCTCAACTAACTAAATAACACCATACAAATTATATAATCAATATGATCAGAAATCAGAAATTAATAATTATAGAAAAAAAAAGAAAGAAACCAGCACAATGGTCATTCCTCTGGTACCATAGCCAAATTTTCCACCAACAGTATTAGATTTCAGGGTGAGCATTAGTGATGGGTATTTATCTGATATCCTCAAAAAGTGATGAAAAAACAACTTCGGTCCTCTCTAAACTTCTTTTCCCCATGATACAAAGTAGTGAGAAATGTTACATATTACTCCTTTACCAAAATCAACATCCAAGTCATAGGTTCCAAAGAAACTCCATCTAAGAAAATTCCCTTTCCAACAGTTTGCAAGAAGGTATAGTTATGGAACATAAGTGGTTGATTCATACGCCCCATTCCAAAACATGAGAATCCACCTTCTGTATCTTCAAAGGGACCAACCCTCTTGCCTTTACTCTGGCGCAACCCAGCATGTTTGTCTATGTTACAATTTCTAATATTAATCATCCAAAACTGATAATAGTAAGAAATAAATCTCAGGTTGTGCCCATGTACCACACAGTTTGATCCAAGATACAGTTCCTTCTGAACAGCATACAAATCTGGGTCATTAAGATGAGACAAATCTTGTCCCCTGAATGAACTAGGAAAACTGTTGCCAACACTTAATCTATTATCCGCTTCCGACACTCTATGAAGAAATGAGAATGTCTTAGGATGGACATTGAAGCAATCAGCTACAGCCGGGCTCCCCATGTTAGGAGCTTCATAATCCCACAACAGAGTATTCAGATCCAGGCCACTCATAATCATCTAGTTGCTTGGCAGAAACAGTGAATGAACCTATTGAGAGGATGGAAATAAAATGGTAGTCATAAACATAGCCATTAATTATTATATGGATTGTTTGTTGTAGATGCACCTATAGATGAACAGATCAGAAGATAAATGACTACATGTAGAGTGTGTGTGTGTGTGTGTTTGTATGTAAAAATCAATAATTTTTAAGTACATGGCTAACAATTTTTAAGTTTTTCAGGTATCATAGATTTAACCCCAAAATTTATTCCTGGTGGAGGGGTGGCCACCTTAAAATTTTATTAACAAATCAGATAGAAAACAGTGTCCTCCGCCTTGCCCCTGAAACCCAATTACATAAAACACTCCCTAAGACACTCAACCCAACCCCATGAAAGAAAAAAACAACACAGAACAACAATTTGTTGAGAAACTGACAAGCCCACGGTTCAACTTAATTCAGAAATTAACAAGTAGGAAAACAGATCAGCAACTGGAAAGATAAAATTTCAACAATCCAACAGAAGGCCAAATCACTTGAACTTGCCAGCTTGAAACCAAGAGTTCAATACCACCTATGCTGTTATTACTCCATCAGGCTAATGTAAGAGGTAACCCATACAATGATATGATGTTCAATATTGGAAGGTTGATTGCACCTCTTCTTCTTAGTAATTTACAGTTGGAGGTAGGTAATTACTTGTGCCCCAACCTCACCCAATGCTGCTGATGTTTTTTGGCTGCTGCTTTGTCTGAAGCTTCGCACTTCAAGGCCCATTTTGAGTGTTTCCCAGTTGCATCTTTGGTTGTGTCTTTTTTCTTAGGCATACGTGATGGACCAGCCCCATTTCCATGGAAATTGTCTGGGGTTACAGACCCTTCTTCTTTATGTCCCGCCTTAACATTGCCATTATGTCCTCACATTTCTTCAACATCTTAGATTGTCATGTCTCTATATTTTTATACAAAGTTTGTATTTCCAAGTGACTAACCCCATGCCCTCAGTGTAAACATCCATTTGAGTATCCTAGTGTATATCATTCACTTGATAAACAGTGAGAAACTCAAATGGATGTTTGCACTGAATTTGTCAGTATCCTTATAGAGACTGCATGCCACAAAATGGGGTTAGGCAGTTGGAAATACAAACTTCGTATACAGATATAGAGACATGACAATTTAAGATGTTGAAGAAATGTGGCTTCCAAGTGACTCTGCAAGAGATGCCAAATTAAAGAGATAAGTGATACTAAGAGAATGAAAAGATGTGAGGTTTCCAAGCGACTCTGGCAGAGATGCCAAATTAAACATAAGCATATTTGTATACAAAGTTATGCATTAAACATATTTGTATTTCTACTCTTCCCAAACTGAGACTTAAAGATTGGTAATAGCATCCAAACAGCCACAACAAATATTACAGCAGCCTTTATGACAAGGGACCCTACATCTTCAACTGTAATTACGGAAGAAGATAGGTGGCTGAATGGTATTACATATAAAAGGCCATTGAAATGCCATATGACTGCTGTGACACTTAGACCTTAGATTCATAAACGAAAATGTTAGATGCTATGTTACAGTGGTTCACCACACCTATTTCCTTCACTTGGATCGACGGTAAGGATGAGGACAAGAACAAATACCTTATGCATTGCATCCATTTGCAGCAGATAATAATAAATGAGGGTTCAACCCAAGGGCTTCAGCTCCCTATTCGCAGCACATCCTAAAGCAAAGAAGAAAGTTTAAACAAAGTAAATATATTAGCCATGGCTATCATGATATAAAAAAAAAAAAAAAAAAAATGAACTTCTCTCCACCATAAAGAGATAAATCCTAGATCTGTTCAGGACTTCAATGCCCCTTAGAATTAAACGTTTATATGTGATGCCCGCATCTGAGTAATCGAATTGTCGACTCATTTAGACATTTTTTATTTTAATTATTTTTTAAGTTGAAATGGGCCGTCTATTCAAACCGGATGGTCAAACCATCAACCTATAAAGTGGCCAATACGGTTCCGGGTCGATTTTTAAAACCTTGGTAGTTGGTAGGCGTTAGTAACCGCCATAAAAAAGCAGCCGTTAATGGTGAGCTTTTGGTTTGGACGATGCCAATATTTTTGCAGGTCAAGACCTGTTTTCGTGATCTTGCCGTGTCAATCGCTTTCATCTGTCGGTTAACAGAATTCCACTCCAGCAGCGATTTTTACGCGGAAATCTAAAACATAAATGAAGAGAAAATACAGACGAGATTGCCGCTTGTTCTCAAAACAGTTTTCCACTGCAACTCCTATTAGTACTTCAAATCCTACTCCAACTAGGACTTTATCCTTGGTTCTTTACTATAAATAGATATGCTCTGCCTGCCTCTCATTCGCATACAGCATGCATCATCAACATTGAGAACATCTTCCTTAGTGAATAGTGATTACGGTAAGACTCTTCTCCCTTCTCTTTCTCTTTTTCTTTGTGCATGTTCTTCGTTGTATTTACCATTACATGCAGTGATATCTGTTCTTCTTCTTCTTTTCTCTTCTTTGTTTTATTTTCATCGTCCCGGCGGCGACCAATCTCCCTGCTCCTCGTTCTTTCTCTCTTTTCTTTCTTTCTTTCTTTCTCCCCCTGATTTTTCATCCACCCTGAATCGCCACCGCCGCTGTTTGTTTCTTTTCTTAATCAAAAAGAAAAGAAAGGGAAAAAGAAAAAAAAAAAAAAGAATCACATATACATGACACTTCCCTTTATTAGGAGAGATGGGCAGCATTTTAGGCCATGTGAAGTCTCTTATTAGCTCATGAGTTTCTGAAACGTTGCAATGTTTCATTCTTTTAAGAATATGTTCTGCTTTTTCATAAGTCGTGGTAGGCATGTTATAAAACATGTTTCAGGAGTCATATACCTTATACTGATGAGAGATGATTTGGTTAATTACTAATTCCAATATAAGAACGGTACTAACCCTAGTTATATCCATTGTGTTCGATCTGATGATTGTTACCTGTAATAGCAAAACAATGGCAAATGAGTGTAAATGCTTGATATTCTCCTTTCCTTCTTCTAAGTTATATTGTTAAAATGAGGAGTCAAAAGTATGAGTTGCCATTTTCTTACCCTCAATTGTTTTTCATGTACAGAGATGCAACTGGGTCTAAGAAGAAAGATGCAGCCGAAGATGCAACTGGGCAACAAGCAAAGTGGGGCTTGAAGCACGAAGCTGCAGACAAGGCAGAAGCCAAAAAACATGAGCAGCATTGTGATTACCTCCCTTCAACTGTAAATTACTAAGAAGACCAGGCGCAATCTACCTTCCGGTAGTTGAACATCATATTATTGTATGGGTTACCTCTTACGTTAGCCTGGTGGACTAATAACAGCATAGGTGGTTTAGACCTCTTGGTTTCAAGCTGGAAAATTCAAGTGATTTGGCCTTTTGTTGGGTTGTTTAAATTTTCTCTCTCCAGTTGCTGATCTGTTTTGCTACTTGTTAGTTTCTGTATTAAGTCGATCTGTGGATTTGTCAGATTCTCAAACACCACTCCTTGAATTATAAATGTCTTGTGAAATTGCTTATCTGACATAAATATCTTGAATTAGTATAATAATTCTTCTTTAACTGAGCCATAGGTCATCTTAAAGAATTTTGTTTTAGCGATGAGGAAAAACAATTCATTTTGAACTTCTTTATTTAAAGTTTAAATGCTCCAAAACAAGACTTGATATATCAGCACTATTACACTAATATCTTATCAGAATTCCAAAGTATGATTGAGGAAGAGTAGTAATAGGATAGATGACCTCTTGAAAATTCCTCCTTGTATGGTGAAGATTTAGGATCGATTAAAACCTTCACCTCGGTTGGGGGATTTTGAGGATAGGGAATGGGCCATTCCCTATAGCTGTGTAGCCCCAACAATTGGGCCACTCTCTCTTTTTCTTCCTTATTTGAAACTCTTGTTTTCCCTGTTTATGCCCTTTTTGACAAAATTCAACCCAACCTGGCCCAAACTGCATTCCTGCTGCTAGACATACAAGCATCCAACTCTAACATAGGAGATAAGAGGAATGACAATTCCTCGTGTAGAAAATTTGGACAAATGGACCAAATAATTTGAATTTGATAGCTTGAAACCAAGGTTCTAAACCACCAATGCTGTGATTATTTTGCCAAACTAATGTAAGAGGTTACTTATACAATGAGATAATGTTCAACTACTGAAAAATTTACTTTTACCTGGTCTTGCTTATGTAATCACCTCCACCCCAACTGTATTTGGTAAATTGGTTTATCTACTTGAACTAGTTTATTTTGTTTCTCAACAAATTGTTGTTTTGTATTGTTTTTTCTTTCATGGGGTTGGGTTGAGTGTCTTAGGGAGAGTTTTATGTACTTGGGTTTCAGGGGCAAGGCGGGCTATGTCCTCCCCTGTTTTCTATCTGATTTATTAATAAAATTTTAAGGTGGCCACCCCTCCACCTGGAATAAATTTTGGGGTTGAATCTATGATACCTGAAAAACTTATTCAATTGCAGGCAAAAAAAAGAAAGAAAAATATTACCCTTGTTCTTAAAAATTGTTGATTTTTACGTGCGTGCGTGCGCACACACACACACCATGTAGTCCTTTATCTTCTGTTTTGTTCATCTATAGAAGCATCTACGACAAACAATCTCTATAATAATTAATGGCTATGTTTATGACTGTTGTGTTTGCTATTCTTTCCATCCTCTCAACAGGTTCATTCACTGTTTCCATCAGGCAACTAGATGGTTATGAGTGGCCAGGACCTGAATACTCCGTTGTGGGAGATCCTGCTATGAGAAACTCAGACTTCAGATTGTCTATAGACTCATGGAAATACTGTAACAAGGTTGGATATGAAGCTCCTAACATGGGGAGCCTGGCTGTAGCTGATTGCTTCAATGTCCATCCTAAGACATTCTCATTTCTTCATAGAGTGTCGGAAGCGGAAAATAGATTAAGTGTTGGCAACAGTTTTCCTAGTTCATTCAGGTGACAAGATCTGTCTCATCTTAATGACCCAGATTTGTATGCTGTTCAGAAGGAACTGTATCTTGGATCAAATTGTGTGGTACATGGGCACAACCTGAGGTTTATTTCTTACTATTATCAGTTTTGGATGATTAATATTAGAAATTATAACCTAGACACATGCTGGATTGTGCAGAGTAAAGGCAAGAGGGTTGGTCCCTTTGAAGATACAGAAGGTGAATTCTCATGTTTTGGAAAGGGGCGTATGAATCAACCACTTATGCTCCATAACTATACCTGCTTACTAACTGTTGGAAAGGGAATTTTCTTAGATGGAGTTTCTTTGGCACCTATGACTTGGATGTTGATTTTGGTAAAGGAGTAACATGTAACATTTCTCAGTACTTTGTATCATGGGTAAAAGAAGTTTGGAGAGGATCAAAGTTGTTTTTTTCATCACCTTTTGAGGATATCAGACAAATACCCATCACTAAGGCTCACCATGAAATCTAATACTGTTGGTGGAAAATTTGGCTATGGTACCAGAGGAATGACTAAAGATACAAGTATCATTGTGCTGGTTTCTTTCTTTTTTCAATAATTATTAATTTCTCATTTCTGATCATATTGATTATATAATTTGTAATGGTGTTATTTAGTTAGTTTAGAGTTTTAAATTCTTTTGTATTATGATATTGCGGTTTACAATTTCACCATACTAGGTTTTGCAAGGAGAACTCAAACAACAGAAGGTTGACCAGAAGTATGAAGGATTTCTCTGAGTTCATTGCTAGGCACAATCTCCGAGATCTTCCTCTCCACAATGGGAAATTCACATGGTGTAACTTGCAAGAAAGAGACATTTGCAGCAGACCATTGGTCGGTCATGTTGCAAAATGAGTTCTTGGAAAAAGGGAAGTCCCCATTCAGTATGGATAAGGAGTTGATTTTTAACAAAGATTTTCACCAAAAGGTGACATCTTGGTGGGAGGAATGCAGGGTAGAAGGTTGGGCTGGTTTCCACATTTCCAAGAAAAGTCACATTTCTAAATTGAAGGTTGGACAGAGAGATATGGAGGATCAAGAGGAAATTGTAGAGAACATCTTGAAGCAAATCAAGGAAGTTTTTACTATGGTCTCACCAAGAAAACACTTATTGASTTCTTTGGATGGCCACACCTTATCAGAGGAGAGGAGGACCTGGTTAGAGAATGAATTTGAGGAACAAGAGATTAAGGCGGCTATTGATATGGATGGAGATCATGCTCCTGTGCCGGATGGCTTCCCCATGTTTTTCTTTTAAATTTTCTGGGACACAATCAAATTGGACTTAATGTAGGCATTTAATGATTTCTACCATCAGCTATCGTAAACAAGGGAAACAACTCAACCTTTACAGTCCTAATTCCAAAAAAAAAGGGCATCTTGGAAGTAAAAGAGTTCCGTTTCATCAGTTTGGTTGGAATCATATACAAAATTTTGGCCAAGGTCTTGGCAAATAGGCTGAAAGAGGTCTTGGGGGATTTATTTTCCAAAAATCAGTTTGCATTTGTGAAAGGTAGRCAAAGAGTCAACTGTATTCTATTGGCCAACGAATGTTTAGAAGAAAGAAGACAAAAAACATCCCGGGAGTTGTGGTGGAAATTGATTGGAACTGCCTCCTAGAGATTCTGAAGTTGAAAGGTTTTGGCCCTAGTTGGGTGTGGTGGATAAAAGGTTCTATTTGTTCTTCTTTGTTCTCAGTATTGGTGAACAGAGAGCCTAAAGGTTATTTTAAGACTAGGCAGGGCCTTAGACAAGGCTGTCCCCTCTCCCCCTTTTTATTCACCCTAGTTATTGATGTTTTAAGTTGCTTCTTCGAAAGAGCAAGAAGTCGAATTTTTCTGAAGGGTTTTGAAGTAGGTAGAGAAGCAATTCGTGAAGAACTGTGGAGATGCAGAGATAGACGGCTGATACTTGGGCACTTGAAACCTGCATACAAGAAAAAAGAGCATCTGCCACACAATATGGGATCCGAGACACCTATCTCTCAAACAAAGTTCAAGAGAGAACTGCTAAATCTGGATGGGGCCGAAAATTTGGAAGTTACTTGACCTACCAAGATAACTTTTCTTTCACACATTGCTATCTTTATGCTAGCCATATATATAGGTCTCTGCCCAACATTCCCTTCCTTGTTTTGAGGAGGGAACTTAACCAACTTGAACGTTTAGGGGGAAGAGCAAGTTAAGGACTCTCCAGATTGAGACAACTGTCTCATACGGACCAAGGATCTAACCACTTGGTCATCCAGTCTAGACTGGGTCAAATGGATATCCATTGACCCAATAAGAGCTGGAACTAGGATCCAGAATAATCCAACAATATTGGTATCTCCATGCATAAAAACATTTTCAAATAAACAATCAAATAAACTTCTTTTTATAGAAAATAAATAAATAGGTAAGAATTCAAAATGAATGATTGTGTGTGAGAGTGTTGCACAGAGATAACCATAAAATAATCATCCCCCATCAACATGTGGCTTGTTACATGGCCATTGGATGTTCCAACATGTTGAGGATCAAACGAGGGCCTATGGCCACTCTACCATCAATTCACGTCTCCCATCTATTTTTTGCGGACGATATTCTCCTTTTCTTGGATGCTCTGTGTAATCTGAAGTGCTATACTCGAAGTAGCAAGAAAGAAAAGAGAATGACAGAAAAGAATAGAATGTCGA